GCCACTGCACTACAGTCTGGGCGACAGAGTGAGACTCCAACTCAAAAAAAAAAAAAAGTCATAAAAATAGAATTATACATTGCCTCAACTCTTCACCCCTTCTACCAGATAAGGACAAAGCAACAAGGTACCATCTTGAAAGCAGAGACTAGGCTCTCACAAAACATTAAATTTGCTAGTACCTTGATCTTGGGCTTCTTACCATCCAGAACTGTGAGTCATAAATTTCTATTGTTTATAAATTATCCAGTCTATGTATTTTTGTTAGAGCAGCAAGAAAGGTAAGACAGGGATTGTACCAAATACATATTTACACCAGCAATGTACGAATGTTTCTCCACATCCTTTCTAGCATTTTGCATTGTATGCTTTATTTGAGCCATCCCAGTCAGTTTTCAGTGGTTTCTCATTATGGTTTTAATTTTCATTTCCCTATTAGCTAATGTTGTTGCATATCTTACCATGTACCTATTTGCTACATATGTACATACTTTTTAGTGAAATTCTTGTTCATGTCTGTTGCCCATTTCCTAATTGCTTTTTTTAATAGAGTTATAAGAGGTTTTTCTCTTTTAGGTAGCAGTCTTTAGCCAGATATGTGGTTGACAGATATTCTCTGCCACTCTGGATGTAGCTTTTGGGGATTGTTTTTCAGAAGAATATATAATTATAAAGGATGACATTTATGGCATAATTTTAGGGAAAAGAGCAAATATTAAAACATTATGCACGTATATACATATATATGTATATTCTCTGTCATACTGGAGTATGCATAGTAAATATGAACTGGGTTAAGTTTGAGCAGGGTGATTACCAGTAATTTTTTGTTTTTGCTGTCTTAAATTTCCTGTGATGATTATTAGTCACTTTTAAAACAGGAAAACATAATTGAAATGATATCTAAGCAAGCTTATGAATCCATAGGAAACTTCAAGGTAAATACTGATTCCCATAGAAGGTAGGCTAACAGTCAGGGAAGGTTTCCAGAAGGAAAAGGCATGAACCGAGGTGGTTTATGAAAGACAGAAGGACATTTTTTGTCACAATTTGCCCACAGAGACCCTGTGGCCACAGATTTTCCAACTGGCATTCTGCTTCTCCTGGCTTCAGAGAGAGAAATGCATTGTCTTGGCTGGACCCTTGAGAGGCCCTTCCTGCCCAAACTTGACCTAGAGGACTCTATGACTACAATTTCTGCATCCCAAAGTGCCTTTGAAAGTATCTTTCCCCAGATGACCCTGAAGAAGCTCATAGTTCATCACTCAGGGATGTGTGCACAGGAGTTATGAACTTAATATAAGTTTCCCCTCAAAAATTCATATGTTACATCCCTAATTCCCAAGATAATAGTTTTGGAGGTGAGGCCTTTGGGAACTAAAACGATTTAGAAAAGGTCATCAGGGTACAGCCCTTATAAGATTAGTCCCCTTATAGAAAGAAGACAGAGAAATGTCTTTCTCCCTCCATGAACACACACCTAGGGAAGGCCATGAAATCACACAGAGAGAAGCCAGGTAGGGTGACCTCATCAAGAAATGATCTGCCGTTACCTTGATTTTGTCTTTAGTCTCCAGTACTGTGGAAAATAAGTGTCTGTTTTTAAAGCCACCCAGTGTGCTATTTTGCTATAGTAGCCCAGACAAACTAAGAACCGGTGAAACTAGTGTCATCACATACAATCATGTGGAGAACAGGAATCAGAGTGGAAAGGACAGAGTGGGTAGACAGGTTGCCACTGAATTGCCAAGTTACCCTACCTGAGTTACTGCTTCTCTGAGCTGAGGTTGCTTGTCTGTAAAGTGGGGCAATGACTCTCTCACAGAGCTAAGGGCAACATGGGTTAATTGTTTTTTGAAATTAGTGAGAAAAGGATAGGTAAAAGGTTCTCTAGACAGTAATGACTTACAAATGTGAGCAATTTATCATTCCACAGGAATTCACCAGAAGGTGCAGCAGTCCACTCCTGCCAGATGACAGGTCATGCTTACAAAGACTTCCCTGTAGGGATCAGGATTCCTAAGTAAAAGACAATGGGATTATATTTATGAGGATATGTTGGGTAGGAAGTTACATGCTGCATCTTGTTCATCACACAGGAAATTTCCCAAAGAAGGTGTACACCAAGGCAGAATAAGTAGACTGATTAAGAGGAGTGCAATAGAAGAATTTTTTTTTTTTGAGTTGGAGTCTCACTCTGTCACCCAGACTGGAGTGCAGTGGCCGCTCCCAGCCACCGCAGCCTCTACCTGCTGGGCTCCGGCAATCCTTCCGCCTCAGCCTTCCGAGTAGTCAGGGGTAGAAGAATTTTTAATACCAAGCACCTAATATGTCAGGAACTAAATTAGGTCTAAAATAAGACCCTTTCAGGAAGGACCCGAAGACAGGTTTTTCACAACCCTGATGTTGATGAGAAGGTTGAGGAGGGGAGAAGGGTAATTTGAGAAGATTTTTGCTGTTGTCTTTTCATTCTCAAACTTTCCATGACCCTGCACTCTGTTGACCACAGAGGCACCGGATCACCTGTTCAGTCTTAAATTTACTAGTTTTGCCTAGTTTCAGGAGCCTTCATTTATGTTTTTTGTGATACTCTGTACTCCAGGTTTCACCTGCCAAGGTTAGGAGAGCCTCAGCCACAACCCTGGGGCTCCAGAGGCATCAAGGTTATAGGACCAGTAACTGATTGCATGTCCACCCACCCTATCCCCAAGCACGCACTGGGAATCTAATTCCTTTTCAGAGGAACAGCATATGTACTGCCCCAAGAAGGAAGAACCAGATCAAAAAGGGTAACAAATTTAGGTTTGGCTAAGGGCAAAGTGTGCGGCTTTCAGGGTTCTTCCAGGATGGTACGCAGGCCAGAAGGTAAGGGACACACCCAGACATTGTCTGTGTCCCTTCAAAAAATCAGCTATGTTAGGGATGGCTGCAGTCCTAAGAAGAGGACCCGACAAGGTGAGCTGAGGTACAAAAACCTATTCACTTCCTTTGGTTCAGGTTGGGCAGAAACTTTGTGGAGAGAGAGAAGTTAGCTCCTTTCTACAGCAAGGCCCAGAAAGGACAGAGTGAGGGTGGTAGATCCCCAAACTTTGAGCATGGCTCTCACAAGGCAAATGGCATCTAGTTAGAAAATATGAACCCTGGAGACAGACTGCCTGGGTTTGAATTGTGGCTCCACCACTTACCTGCTCAGGCAAGTGAATCAGCCTCTGTGTCACTCTGTTTCCCTATCTCTACAAGAGACGGTAACCATCTGCCTCAAGGAAAAGAAAGGAAGTAAATAAGTTGGTGTGCATAAAGCCTCAGAAATGTGCCTGGCACACATGGCCAGCACCATGGTTTGCTCTGGTGGAAGACAATATGAACGAAGGCATATCTTTTTCTCAAAGAGTGAAATAGTCAATACTGTGAGGTTTTTGTTCCATACAAAGAGTGAAAAAGTCAATTTGCAGATTTTGTGGTCCATACAGTTACAGTGACTTTTCTTCTTCTCCTCCTCCTCCTCCTCCTCCTTCCTTCCCCTCTCTCTTTTTCTTTCTTTCTTTCCTTCCTCCTCCTCCTCCTCCTCCTCATTTTTCTTCCCTTTGCTTTTCTTCTTTGTTTTGAGTTGGAGTCTCACTCTGTCGCCCAGGCTGGAGGACAGTGGCATGCTCCCAGCCACCGCAGCCTCGACCCACTGGGCTCCGGTGATCCTTCCGCCTCAGCCTTCCAAGTAGCTGGAACTACAGGCGCGCACTACCATGCCTGGCTAACTTGTTGATTTATTGTAGAGATGAGGTCTCACCAAATTGCCCGGGCGGGTCTCGAACCCGCAGGTTCAGATAATCCACTCACCTCGGCCTTTACTTTCTGTGAACTGTCTTTAAATTCTTTATGCGCGGAAGTAGGTTATGGCCAACTGCCACCGTCCGCTGACGGAATCCCTTCCCCAGGATTTGGCCTCCTTCCGCCAACCCCCAACGCACATTGAAGATCCTAACATTTTCAGAGAGCCTTTTGGAAAGAACAAGTCGACTTCAATAAATGAAGGAGAATAAAGAAAATCCAAGCCCCTCAGTAACTTCAGCAAACCTGGACCACACAAAACCATATTGGTACTGGAATAAGAGAGACTTGGCTCATACACTCTCACAACTCGAAGGGCTTGATCCAGCCACTGAGGCCTGGTACCGCCGAGAAGGGGCTCGGTTCATCTTCGATGTGGGCACACGTTTGGGGCTACACTATGATACCCTGGCAACTGGAATAATTTATTTTCATCGCTTTTATATGTTTCATTCCTTCAAGCAATTCCCAAGATATGTGACAGGAGTGTGTTGTCTATTTCTGGCTGGGAAAGTAAAAGAAACACCAAAAAAAGTAAAGATATCATCAAGACAGCCCGTAGTTTATTAAATGATGTACAATTTGGCCAGTTTGGAGATGACTCAAAGGAGGAAGTCATGGTTCTGGAGAGAATCTTGCTGCAGACCATCAAGTGCGACCTCCAGGTAGAATATCCCTACCAGTTCCTACTCAAATATGCTAAACAACTCAAAGGTGATAAAAACAAAATTCAGAAGTTGGTTCAAATGGCATGGACATTTGTAAATGACAGTCTCTGCACCACCTTGTCACTGCAGTGGGAGCCAGAGATCGTAGCAGTAGCAGTGATGTATCCCGCAGGATGTTTGTGCAAATTTGAAATACAAGAATGGACCTCCAAGCCCATGTACAGGAGACGGTGGGAGCAGTTTGTTCAAGATGTCCCAGTTGATGTTTTAGAAGGTACCAGGCGTGCTGAGCTTTCTTGTGAGGGTGTTTACATTATTCTTCCCTGTGAACTCTGAGTCCCAAGCATGGATTTTCCTAAATAGGCATTGTGTAAGCAATCTTTCAGAAGCACCGTTATTTAAATGACATGGTTTTCACTTCGTCCAAGCACGTAGTTTTGGTGAACTAAAAACACACACCAGTGTGTGTACAACCAAGGTGGCATGAGTTGCACCTGTGACTCCTGCTTCTTGGTCCTGGTAGGGGAATCAGAACTGACTGTTTTTGTGGGTAGAATTGCATTGAAAACTTCAGCTTATGGTAAGTCCATTGTTGCCTATCGTCTAGACATCTGCCACCAAATCCTGGATCTTTACTCCCAAGAAAAACAACAGATGCCTCATCACCCAAGAAGCCGTCGCCACAGCCCAGTCCTCCCCGGCAGGTGAAAGGAGGCGTGGTTGTTTCTCCCAAAGAAGAGGACAAAGCAGCAGAACCACCACCGCCTAAAATCCCCCAAATTGAGACCACTCACCCACCATTGCCTCCGGCCCACCCACCTCCAGACCGGAAGCCGCCCCTGGCGGCTGCCTGGGGCGAGGCCGAGCCGCCGGGCCCCGTGGACGCCAGCGA